CCCCCACTCCTCCACATGCAGCTGCTGGTGTGACCTTGGGTCAATCACAAGTTCTTTCAGAGCTGTTCTCTCAAGGGGAGATATATACATATATATATTGGGTTTATAGCCCACCCTTCACTACCTGAAGGAGTCTCAGAGTGGCTTACAATCCCCTTTCCCCTCCCCTCCCCACAACAGACACCCTGTGAGGTAGGTGGGGCTAAAAGAGCTCTTTCGAGAACTGCCCTTGAGAGAACAGCTCTGGAAGAATTTGTGACTGACCCAAGGTCACACCAGCAGCTCCATGTAGAGGAGTGGGGAATCAAACCTGGTTCTTCCAGATTAGAGTCTGCACTCCTAACCATTACACCAAACTGGCTCAAAAGAGCTCTCTCAGCCCCACCTACCTCACAGGGTGTCTGTTGTAGGGAGGGGAAGGGAAAGGGATTGTAAGCCGCTTTGAGACTCCTTCGGGTAGTGAAGGGTGGGGTATAAATCCAATCCATTGTTCTTCTTCTTCTTCTTCTCCTCCTCCTCCTTCTCAGCCCCCTGCTCCCTTACTCCCCATAGCCTCTCCCTCCAAGTGCTCCAAGCTCACTTATAGTACTTGAAGTGTGTGTGTGTGTGGGGGGGAATTACTTCTGAGTTGGAAAATTATGGGCTGAGGGAGGGTTTAACACTCCCTGTCCATCAACACCCTTTGCTCTAAAAGTTGGATCCATAGCTTTATATATGAGGGGGACAGATCTGGATTTAATTCACCGATTTGCTTTTGGTGCTCACTGGATATCAAGGGCTGTCGTTCTCAGCCTAGCCTACCTTGCAGGGTTGTTGGGAGGATAAAATGAGGAAAACCCAAGACGTTTTTCAGGGGATAAACAATAAAAAATGATAACATTTTGAGCAGGATAGGAAATGAGAGGGAGCTAGGGTTGCCACCTCTGGGTTGTGAATTCCTGGAGATGTTGGGGGTGGACACCAAGGCTCCCTCTACGCTGTGGAGTCTCATGAGCGAAAATTCTACTTTGTGAGCTTACTGGCATTAAAACTGTGAGCGAGCCATTTGACTGCTGCAGAAATTAGTTTGCTCTGGAGCCATCCCTTCCTGAGCGAAGACGAAAATGTGTGAGCCGGAGGCTAAGAAACTCTGAGCTAGCTCACACTAACTCATGTTCGTGGGGAGGGCGGGATAGAAATATAATAAAATAAACTCAGCTTAGAGTGAACACTGGTGGACGCTGAGGAGTGTGGGGTTTAGGGAAGGGGGAGACCTTAGTTTATTTATTTATTTTTATTTATTTTACTAGGCTTATATCCTGCCCTCCCCACGTTGTACACTCAGGGTGGGTTCCAACATATAGGTCTGCAATTTAGGCAGATTTAGTGAGGAATAATGCCATAGAGTCCACCTAGGGCAGCCAGATTCCCCACCACCACCACCACCAGTGGGGAATGACTGGGGGTAGGGTTGACAGACTCAGGTTGGGAAACTCCTGGAGATTTGGGGATGGAGCCTGGGGAGGACAGGGACCTCAGTGGAGAACAATGCCACAGAGCCCACCCTCCAAAGCATCTATTTTCTCCAGGGGAACTGTTCTCTGTAGTCTGGAGATGAGTTGTAATTCGGGTGGGGGGGGCGGTCTCCAGGTCCCACCCGGAGGCTGGCGTCCCCAAGTCCGCCTTCCACAGTAGCCACTTTTCTCCACGAGAACCGATTTCTTTTACCTGGAGGCCAGTTGTAATTCTGGGAGATCTCCAGCCACCGGCTGGAGAGTGGCAACCCTGCCTCCTCCACCGACTGCGTTGCAGTGGTCAGAAACGCGGCGATGTGAGCAGATGGGTGTTCCGAACTCCTCGCCTAGGCACCCGCGGAGGGTAAAGCGCTTTGCTTGCAGGCAAAGCTCTCTGCAGGCAATCGGCGGGGAAGCCGCAGCAGCGCCTGGCCCCTCTCGCTTTTGAACTCTTCTCCAGACTTGCTCGACCAGAAACGTGGCTGCCTGCCGCGTTACCAAGCCCCTGGGGGGGCGTGGTGCTCCCAGCCTCTGAAGAGAGGCTTTTCCAGCTGAGAGGTTCTGGGCATGGGGCCAAATGCTCTCCTGGCGGCAGCCTCGGTGGCGCTTTTCCTGCCGCTGCTCCCGGGTCTCCAGAAGTGGGAAGGTGCATGATACACCCTCGCTCTCTCGTTCTCCTTGGGACTGCGTGTCAGACCAGGAAGCCAGCAGCAAGATCCTGGTGGCTTCCCGCTTCGTGCCGTCAGGTGTGTGTGTCTCTCTGTGTTCCAACAAATGGGTTTGCTTACAGAATGTGCTGGCCGCTAACGTCAGTCTCCATGGAATCGCCGGTGTCCTCCGCTTCGGGGCTTCTGCCCGGACGTTTTTCAGCTCTGCCGTGATCCTAGACGAGTCCAGACTGAGGGTTAGGCTCTCCTGGCTCTCTAAGTGGACTTCCCGATGTGGACCGGACGCGGGAGATGGAGGTGAGTACCATGTTGAGCTGGGTTGCCTGTCGAGTGGTCTGAATGATTTACACTTTTATGATCCTTCGAGATATATGCCTGGCGGGATGAGTGCTAAGTTCTCTCCTGTTGGTGGGCTGTGGCAAAAACATGACAAAGAGCCTTAGGGCAGGAGTTGGAGTTGGAAGGGACCTCCGGGGTCATCTAGTCCAACCCTCTGCACGATGCAGGAGAATCACAAATACCTTCCCCCCCACACCCCCAGTGACCCCATGTTCCATGCCCAGAAGATGACACTAAAAACCTCCAGGATCCCTAGCCAAACTGGCCTGGAGAAAAACTGCTTCCTGACCCCGAAGTGGCGATCAGCATTTCCCCGGGTGTGTTACAAAGGGCCTGTAAGATCGAGGTCTTTATCGCATCCTGGGTTTCCCTGGACCTGAATCTGCCCTGTCAGACTCACGAGGTGGTCCCCTCACATTGCTACAGAAGAAAACAAATGCTGTCTCCTGGAGGAGGAAATCCCCAAGTGACCTGAGGTGGCCTTCGACCAACCCACTGTTCTCTCAGCTTCACTTCTCGCAAGCTGCATTGCAGAAATCATAACGCTGATCCACCTTAAAGGGTTGTTGTAAGGGTAGTTGGGATGACGCAAGCGAAAGCCTTCGGAGATAGCAGAACACTGTGTCAACATTCAAGGGCCAGCGCTGCCCTCCTCTTACAGTGTGTTACAAGCCTGACCCTGCCCTGGTGTTGTCATGGTTGTGAAGTCACAGCTGATTTACGGTGACATGTGGGGCTTTCAAGGCAAGAGACATTCAGAGGTGGTTTGCCATGGCCTGCCTCCATGACACGACCCTGGGCTTCCTTGGTGGTCTCCCATCTAAGCTCCAACCGGGTCTGGACTTGCTTAGCTTCCGAGATCTGACAAGATCAGGCAAGCCGGGGCTATCCGGGCCAGGTGAAGACAGAGCAACAAACAGAAAAGAGCTGGGATCTGAGTCCAGTAGCACCTTAGCAACCGAAAAAGGAGTCCTGGCTGTTTTTGTTTGTTTTCCCCGAAGGTGGCCTTGAACAGGCAGGGAAGGTGGCATGTCGGGCTTCCCCTTGGCGACATCACCCACTTGCCCCAGCTCTCTGGGGGGCTCCCGGGTACCGGGCCTGAAGGAAACCTGCTCTACCTGATTTGGAGAAAGATGCACTTGTTCCGCAGCTGTAGCTATCAGATCCAGCTGGAGGGGCAGGCGGGCGGCACCCCGAGGATCCAGGGCATCCGATGGGTAAGTGCCCATGTTCTTGCAGTGGGCTTTTGGGGGTGGGGAAGGAGTCGGGGACGGACAGTTATTGCTGTGATGGGTGAAGGCCGATCCGTTTCCCCTGAGCAGAGGTACGCCGGCCGATGTGGGCACAGGCAGAAGTTTGTTATTGTGCCCAAAAGCTGGTTTGGCAGCCTGCTGTGAGTCAATGTGATAGCCGATCACTGGAGATCTTGGTTCCAGTAAGGAAATGGAGCAGGCGGAGTCCCCCCCCCCTAACTGTAGTCTGTGTGCATGGTAGCTTTTAGCACTCAGGGTCTACCAAAGCCTCTTAGTTACTATCATGCTCCATAGTATCTCTCTATGATCCAGTTCTTTTCTGCTCTGTGTTACTTTTCCCTACTTAATCCAGGTGGGTAGCTGTGTTGGTCTGAAGCAACAGAACAAAACTGGAGTCCAGTGGCACCTTTAAGACCAACAGAGTTTAATTCTGGGTGTAAGTGTCTGTGTGCCTGCACACAAAAGTTTGCATGCACACAAAAGCTTATACTCAGAGTTCAACTTTGTTGGTCTTAAAGGTGCCACTGGGTGCAAACTTTGTTCTCCTACCTAATCCAGTTAGTGTGACTAATGGCTAGAGCAGTTGTGCAAATATTTGTTCAAATACATGAATTTGTGCCTGTCTCCCAACTAGCTCAGGTTGTGCATAACAACCTTGTAAGGTAGGCCAGGGAGTGTCATTGACCCACTGAGTGGCCAGGGTTTCAGATGTCCCTGATCTAGGTCAATCCAGTATATTTTAATCTTAGCCTTCCTCCAAGGAGCTCGGAGAGGCAAGTTTGGCAAGTTTGGTTCTTCCAGTTTGGTGTAGTGGTTAAGAGCGGCGAACTCTAATCTGGGAGAACCGGGTTTCATTCCCCACGCCTCCACATGCAGCTGCTGGGTGACCTCGGGTCATCACAGTTGTCTCAGAACTGTTCTCTCAAGGGCAGTTCTCGAAAGAGCTCTCTCAGCCCCACCCACCTCACAGGGTGTCTGTTGTGGGGAGAGGAAGGGAA